CTCTTCCAAAGTTCGTCTTCTTTTATCTTGAATAAAAAACGAAGAAATAAGATAAGAGATAAAAAAGCAAGAAATAAAAAGTGATAAAAAGTAAGAAAAGAAGCAAATAACATATTATAGATTAGGATTTATGTAGTTTAATTTTCTTATTATTAGCATTCTTTTTCTCTCTCTCTCTCTCTTTCTCTTCTCTTTCTCTTTTTCTTTTTTTTTACTTTTACTTCCTTTATTTTAGAATATCTAAGAGCACTACCAAGTCGCGTATTTGATTTTCTAGATACATGCTACAATTGGGCAACAAGATCGAAAACACGACAACAGGCTTACTGATGGGAGATGAACCGATAATAGTAACAATCAATGTGGAGGATGTCAACGATAATTATCCGCACTTCTTGGAAAAGCTCTATGAAGTATCGATTAAAGAAGACGCCCCATACGGAACGACTATTGCCGTCCTACAAGCCAAGGATGACGACTTGGTTAATACTACAGCGGCCACTCTGGTATACGACATTACCTCAGGAAATGATGGGGGTCTCTTCCGTGTAGAGAAGACAACTGGCGCGGTCTTAGTGAACTCCACGCTTGACTGCGATCTTGAGCCTGAAGTCTACAATCTCGTAGTGATGGTTTGCGATAGCGATCCGGCTTTGCCTCTTTGCGCGCTCGCCAGTCTTCGCGTTTATCTGGAAGATGTGAATGACAATTCGCCAAAGTTTCCGGTTTCCGAATACCTCGAGTTTGTTGGTGAGAATGAGCCGATTGGTACAGTTGTCTTCTCCGCGCGTGCTTCGGATTTGGATCGTGGCATTTTTGGATCATTGAACTACTCTATTGTTTCCGCCGCCAGCGGATTTTCCGACATCGATGACAGTTGGAAGCTGTTCGCGGTAGATGAGACGGGTACTGTCATTACTCGCGCCGTGTTTGATTATGAGCAGCGGAATCGATACGCTTTTACGTTACGTGCCACGGACGCAGGAGGTCGTACAGCGGCAGTGCGTGTCAGAGTGGAGATTGACTCGAGAGACGAATTCTTTCCACAATTTACCGAGAGAATGTATCGATTCGGAATAAGGAGCAATACTCAAGTGCCTGGTACAGTAATTGGTCACGTGACGGCGACCGATCGCGATAAAGGACCCGATGGCCGAGTCGTGTATCAATTAACATCCCAACATCCTTATTTCAAATTGAATCGCACAACCGGTGCATTGATCGTGAAACAAAAATTAATGCACATCGATATGGACGAATCACCCAGATTAGTAGTCAGCGCGAGTTCCGGTAGACAGGGCTCTCTGTCTAACATGACGGTAGTAGAAATTGCATTAATGGATGATACCGAGCTGAATGGAGTTAGAGGAGCTACCGCTCTAGCGCCTACAGATATCGGTTCGAATATGGCTGTAGCTACTTCGGGTGGTTTAGCCGATTGGGTCCTGGGTCTATTGATCGCTCTCCTTCTTCTCATTCTCGCGTTTGGTGCCATCTTTCTCTACCTTCATATTCGTAATCGCCGTCACAAGAAACCCGGTACGAAGCCAGGTTTAAATGGCGAGAGCAATGCTACTGCGTCAAACAGTTACGTGGACCCGAGCGCGTTTGACACAATCCCGATCAGAAGTGTGGCCGGAGTCGGGGCGAGCGGAAATGGTAGTTCCGCAAGTGGCGGGGGAGCGGGTGGCGGCGCCTCCTGTCAGTTTGCTCCTCCGAAATACGACGAAATACCTCCTTATGGAACATCCAGTCAATCCGGGCAACAGCAAGCTACCTCCGAGCTTTCTGGAAGCGATCAATCGGGTTCTTCCGGCAGGGGCTCCGCCGAGGATGATGGGGACGACGAAGAAATCAGAATGATCAATGAGGGTCAGCAGACCGGTGATTCCGCGAGCGACCTTTCAGTTCACAATACTCAGGAATACTTGGCTAGATTGGGCATCGTGGATCCTCCAGCCGGTACGCCTAGGAGGCCTCCCGAAGCTTTGCCTATGGACAGTTTGCATCTGTTTGAAGATGAAGCGAGCACCGAGGCAGATATAGCAACGTTGATTTATGGTAAGATTGGGGAATCTGGACGACCCACTTCTGGTCTGGAAGTACCAGGTGGACCATCGATGAATGGTTCCCTAAGTTCCATCGTGCACAGCGAGGAGGAGCTCACTGGTTCGTACAATTGGGATTATCTATTAGACTGGGGACCCCAGTATCAACCGTTAGCTCATGTATTCAGCGAGATTGCTAGGCTAAAGGATGATGCCGCCAGCGTTCAAAGCGGAAACTCCGGCAGCAGCGGCAAGACCAAGTCTGTACATAAAGCACCACCACCACCATTGCTCACGTCCGTCGCTCCGAGATCGTTAGCGGCACCAGCGTTGGCGAGAGGAATTCTACCAAGGTCGCCGATCAGTCATGATGCCTCTACCTTCCCTTCCGCTGCACTAAGTCCGAGTTTTTCTCCTTCATTATCACCTCTAGCTACGAGAAGTCCTAGTATTAGCCCCCTCGTACCACCCGCCACCCAGAGATCGAATCAAAGTGCCAATCGAGGAATTCCCGTCGCTGATGCCGAGCTGAGGATTTGAGAATACTCTGATTTTAATCCGGCGTACTTTGCGTACTAATTTCTAGTGTTAATACAATGATGACTCGCCAGGAATGCGACATCGGACGATGTGGTACCTCGAACGTGTAATGCGAATAATTCCTGTTAATATGCGTTGTTAAATGTGATTTATTAATGGATATATGTATATTGCTCTCTCAGACTGTGCGAACAACGTGATCCGCGGATATAGTGTTAATGTTTAACTTAGTAATTTCAATTTAATCGGCCATGGCCAAATCGTTCTCCTCGTCACGCGCAAACGCTACTTTCCGGCAATTAATTGTTACTTAATTAATTAATTAACAAAATGTTAACAAAATATAAACTTTATAGATAGTTTCGATTCAACGCGAGGAGCGGTACGAGTAACTCACGAGTGAAACAAAAAGCGAGAAAGCGGCGATTGCGCCTTGACAATTCCATATCTGCTATATAACACAGACGTTTTTTATTCCGATCGATAGCTAATTGAAAATAAGTACTTTCTGAGCGGAATGTTGTAAATATCCGCCGGTTGCGGCGTTTAGTTATTAAGTAATATTGTAAATAATATTCTATGAGAATAACGATGTTGTCATAATCAAAAAAATAGACTGTCCTTACTGTAAACCAGAAATCAAATGATCGCGCCATGTTCATCAAGCCTTCGTGAATGTGTGTACAGTAATCTAATTTTATTATATCGAATCGGTTAATATTACGACGAACATGGCGATATCATTCGAATTAAAAACGAAAACGCGCTACCACGAGCGAACTGATCACACTACATTTCGTGGCAGCGCATCTCTAAAGGCGACCATATATATTCGTTGATTAATTGTTACTTCGTCCCCCGAACGCGATCTCGATGTAACGAGGGATGGAATTTCTCAGCCCGATACATATATACATAACGCACTGAATATATATATATATATATATA